TAAAGAACCCACTGAGTAGGGAAAAAACTTCCCCCACTGTTCCTCAGACACAGGGTAATATCAAAAGTATATAAAAATAGGGCCAGGGATTTAGCTCAGCAGCTCAAGAGCCTGCCTGGAAAGTGCAAGGTCTTGAACTCAATTCCTGGTACCGCCCCCCCAAAAAAAGTATATAAAGAACTTAAAAAATCAGACATCCCCAAATTTAAAGACTCAATCCAAAAATCAGCATCTGAAATAAACACACACTTAGATGAAGCACAAACAACAAATATATATATATATATATGAAAAAAATGTTCAATATCACTGAGATACAATTTAAAACATTAAGATTCCATTTTGTTTCAGAAAGAACAGCTATTATCAAGAAATCAACCAATAACAAATGCTGGTGGGTCACAGGGAAAAAGAAGCCTTTCCCACTGTTGGTGGGAGTGTAGACTGGTACAATCAATATGGAAATCAATGTGCATATCCCTCAAAGAAGTAAAACTAGAGGTTTCAATTGACCCAACTATTTCCCTTCTTGGTATTTTCCTGAAATTATTAAAAGCATCATGCCTCAGGGCTATATGCATACCCATGTTTATAGCAGCACAGTTTGTAATTGCTAAATCTTGGAAACAGCCTAAATGTCCATCAACCAATGAGTGGATAAAGAATATATATATAGCTGTCATAAAGATGGATAAGCCTGAGATATTTCTAAATGAATGCACCTTGAGACCATATTCTTAAGTGAAATAAAATGGAGACTCGTTTAAATGTTGCATTGTTTCTCTGTTGTGAGAAACTGTAAGTGTAAATAAGTACCAAGTATATAATAGATACTGGGAAATGGAAAATTTCCTAGTATCTGGAAAATTTCCCAGATACTAGAAAAATTTCAGATGAAAAGGGGAACAAAGGAGAGGATGGGGGAATGGAAAGAAGGCACAAGAGAAAAAGCAAAATAGAAGGAAAGAAATGAAAACTGTTTTTATAAGTAAGGATGAGAAGAGGGATTGAAGAGGGGAAGGAATAGGCAAAAAAGAAGAAGCAAATTATGTCATGTACTGGTACAATTTCCCTTTGAGGAATGTCATTATGTATATCTATATTGTACCAGTAAAAAAAATTAGTAATTAGTAAGTAAGCCTTCTTTTCAAGACTATGTAAACTGTTTGCAACATTTGAATGTATACAAGGCTATGAGGAAAGTCTAAACAAACAGCAAATTAGTCATGGCTACTATCATTTAATGGGCAGATATCAAACGAAGTGGCCAAATCTTTAGTCATTAGGGAAATGCAAAACTACACTGAGAGTTCATCTTACCCCATTCTGAAAGACTATCATCAAGCGGAAAAAATAAGCGTTGGCACAAACACAGGGAAAAAGGAAGCTTTCTATACTGCTGGGGGTCATCTAAATTAGTATAGCCTCTATGGAAATCAATATGGAGTTTCCTCAAAAACTAAAAATAAGGCTACCTTTTGAAACAGCTATACCACTCCTTGGTATCTACCCAAGGAGTGAAAAGCCAGAATACTATGGGGACATCTGCATATCCATGGTTATTGTGGCACAATTCATAAGAGCTAAACTATGAAAGCAACTTGAGTGCCCATCAGTAGATAGATAATAAGATAGAGAAAATGTGGTATATGGACTATTCAGCCATACAATTGAATGAAATTTTATCATTCATAGAAAAATAATTCTGAAGATCATCATGTTGAGAAGTCAGTGTGACTCAAAAAGATAAATACTGTTGTCACTGATATGTGGAAAAAAATTTGATGAGAAAGTAGAAAGAAGAGCGTATCAGACATGGCAGTAAATGAGAGGTTTGTGAGCAGATGTATGGACAAGTAATGGAGGATGGATGTGATCAAAATGTTATAAATACTGAAATAAAAGACTGAAACTAGGGGGCAGGGAGGGAGTTAATAATCAAGGCATGTTATATGGACGTACAAACCTGCCAACATGAGGCCTATTAATCTGTATAACCAATCTGTACTAATAAAGAACAATGTGAAGGAAAAATAAAATTATTCTTGGCTAGTGAGATACGGTGGTGCACATCCATTACTCAGGAGGCTGAAGCAGGAGGACTATGGGTTCAAGGCAGCTTGGGCTATATAGCATGCTGTGAAAAAATGAGTTTTGCATTTCATTATTGCCTGCATATCACAGAGTGTACCTGCACAAGCTGGTGATTACTTAGAAATGTTTCCAGCTTATCCTTCTTTAAGGAAAAGTAGTATTCCATTGTATTTTTTTTTTTAAATGCATTTTCTTTATCCAACCGTCAGTTTATGGGCATTTAGGGCTGTTTCCAAAACTTAGCTATTATAAACTGTGTTGCTACAAACATAGCTATACCTATATTGCAGTAGTACAATGCTTTTATTATTTTAAATTTTTGGTCCTGGGGATCAAATTCACAATCTTGCACTTGCCAGGCAGGTGCTTATGCCACTGAGCTAAATCCCCAGCTCTAATGTTTTTAATTCTTTTGGGAAGATACCAAGATGAATAGCTGGGGCAAATTGAACCACTTACCCTAGTTTTATTTTAATATACATATACATACACATATACATGTTTGTTCAGCTTCTCACACTAATGAAACAATATGATACATGTGTGTCTTATTTATCGCACTGAGTATGGTCTCAAGTTGCATCCATTTACCTATAAAAAGACTCCAGTTTATCCTTGATGGCTGAGTAGTACTCCTTTATATAAAAATATCACATCTTTTTATCCATTCCTCAATTGGCATTTGGGTTGTTTCCAAGACCTGGCTATTACAAACTGTGCTGCTATAAACATGGGTACACATATATCACTGTGGTATGATGTTAAAATTCTTTTGGGAAGATACTCAGGAGGGGAATATCTGAGTTGAATGGCACCTCTAGTCCTAGTTTTTTGAGGAATCTCCACAGATTTCCACAGTGGTTGCACCAGCCTACACATCCACCAACAATGGAAAAGGGTTCTTTTTTCTCCACAGCCCCACCAGTATTTGTTATTGATTTCCTGGTAATAGCCATTCTTTCTGTAGTGAGATGAAAACTGTTTTAATTTGCATTTCTCAAATGACTAACGATGTCAATTATTTTTTTGTATATTTATTTGTCACTTCTAATTCTTTATCTAAGAAGTGCTATTCATTTCAGATGCCCAGTTTTTAATTAGTTCTTTAAATTTGGGGGGGGGGTCCCTGATTTTTCTGAGTTCTTTATGTATTCTAGATAATAGTCTTTTGTCTGAGGGACAACTGGTAAAATTTTTTTCCCATACTGTGAATTGTTGATAACTTCCCAACATATAAATTCTTCACAATTAAAATTTTTCTGCTAGCTCGGCTTCACAAAATCTAACTTTTCATCAAACACAGTTATAACTGACACTACTTATCGTGATATCCAGCAATCAGTGTATCAAATGCATCACAAACTTGTACTCTCCAGAAAAGTAAAAGCTTATTTGCTAGACTGCTGCCTAAGTGCTACAGTGTTAACAAAACCATCTTACTAATTATGGCTTGACTATGAATTTTTGAATTTCATAAAATGTACATTATTTTAAAAAGGAAAGTCATTCCTATTTCACCTCAGGCAATCTTTCCTTCAAGATGCTAGATTGTGAAATATCTACCTTTTCCACTTCCATTTGTCAATTTCGCGCAAACAGCCTTCATCAGATTTTTTTCTAAAAAAAAAAAAAATAATGCACTCCTCGGATGGTTTAAAGTTTTTATTTTTGAGACAGGGTCTCACTATGTAGTGCAGGCTGTCCTTGAACTCACAACGATCCTCCTGCATCAGCCTCCAAAGTACCAGAATCACAGGTATGCACCACGCCTAGCTGTCCTTCATTTTAAAAGAAAGCACAGTGGCTGGGTAGTATAACTCAGTGGTAGTATGTATGCTCAGTATGCATACACTAGGCCTGTGGTGAATATCAGCACCAGAATAAAAGCATTTATTTGTAATAAACTGAAGGTGACCTCAGCACTGCTTCTATATAGACTTCTTCAGTTTGCAGATGGCTGCCTTCAAATTATGTTTTCCGTGTCATTCTTTTGTGCCTGAACAGGTGTAACTTCCCATATACTTTTTTGGGGAAGGCAGCAGGGTTAAAGGCATGGACCATACCCAGCTCTGGGTCCCAACTGCCTGAGTATAAATCTCACTGCATCCTGGGGAGCTGGGTTGTGGGGAAGTTGCATGGCCTTTCTGTGCCTCCCCTTCCTTGACTGATAATTGTATATGTGACAGTTTAAAGAAACCACATGTGGGTTGTCACAGAAAGTAGGGAAAGAATCACATTATGGTTTTACACAGGTGAAAGTAAGATTATAAAATTACAACAGATATGGGCATAGTCCAATAATACATTACCATACAAGGAGGCAAAGGACAGCACCAAAGATGAAGGGAATCTTCTTGGGAAGGATATTTCATGAGACAGAGCCTTCAGCAGGCAAGAGAGAAAATGCCAACAATGTACCCATTTTGTTAGTTTCTTAAGTACTGTGTTCAGACAAAAGTAGCTTGGTGCCAATGCCCACAGGCCTGCATGTCGTAAGGCAGTGTCTTGGGTCTGGCTAAAACCAAGGACACTCACTGTACGTAACATTTCTTTCCCATGGGAAATTGCCAGTGTCTCTGCAGAAAGGCAACAGCCAAGGTCACTTCAGCAAACACCTGCATTTCACTGACTCGCATCACTTTTAACCCTTTCCCTGACAAAGAACAGGCTTGAGGGGAGGAGGGAAATCTAATTCAATGCAAGTGGTAATGCCACAGGCCTGTTGGACCTGTCATTGAGGCCCAGGACCAACAAGGAGCTGCCAAGAGGGCTGGGCTCCTACCCAGACACTGGTAGTCTTTGTGGTAGGACTTCGGTAAAAAGAAGCATGAGTGTTCATGACCAAAGTATCCTTAGTTTTTACATGTGGACGGTGCACCTGGAGTCTTCATAAATCAATGACTATGTTTGAAAAATAAACCACAAGCTTTTATTGTCCTCAGCAACACAGATGGCCAGGTCTGAAACTGTGGGACTGACCCACCTCACTAGGGGGCGCCCTCCAGGCCAGTGCAGGCCCACAAGGCCACCAGGGGACCCTGGTCCTGCTGCTGCCTATGGAGGCTGCAAAAGATTCTCAGCTCTCCTGTGTGACAGTAGGGAGGCCTGGTGCTGGGGAATAGCTCAGCGTCCTTCAGGCAGCAGTGAATGTCCCCACAAACCCGATGTCCCCTCCCAGCCACTGGCTCCACCACTCTGTGTGTCCCCTCTGCCCAGGCCGGTGCCGGGGCAAAGGTGCTCGGCAAGGCGTCTGCCTCACTCAGAGTCTGAACTCTCACTTGGCTTGGAAGACTTTTGCTTCCGCTTCTTCTTCTTTTTCTTCTTTTCCTTCTTCCTTTTCTTGTGCTTCTCCTTCTTCTTCTTCTTGTGTTTCTCTCTACCCTCCGAGGACTCAGAGCTGCTCCCGTCCTCCTCTGAGGTGGAGTCTGCCAGGAGCTGTTTCAGCTGCTGGATCCTAGGTGTGCAAGATCGGGCAAAGGACTCTGAGTTTCCACGCCAGTCTCCTCAAATGACTACAGTAAGTACTGTGGGGGAGTTGTGATCAATGACCTCACTATACACAGTACTTATTTTCATTGTCCTGATACCTCTCCATGTTACCAGAGCCCCTGAACTGTGATTTCTAACAGGCACATGTACTGAAGTTCCCTCACTGCTCAATCTACCAGTCATTACCCCCTGAAGAGCTGCGATTCCACGCAACCAACCTGAAAACAACTCCTCCTTCTGAACTCTCTATTTAATCGTATCAAAGAATAAATTTTAACAGAGAACACTTATAATCCCAGCTCTTGGGAGGCAGCCGAGGAAGGAGGAATATTTGAACCCATGAGTTCCAGACCAGCCTGGGTAACACAGCTGACTTTCAAAAAAAATCAGGGCTAGACATGTGGTTCAGTGGCAGAGACCTTCCTAGCACATGAAACCCTGTGTTTGAGCCACACACAAAAAAGTTCAGATCTTCAATAATACTGGAGAGGAAAAACTAAATCACCTGAAGACTAAACTGCACACTGCAAGTAGATCCCAAATGTTGGTGGTCAACTGAATTCCAGTGGCACAAGTATGCCTGGCCACGCTCACTGCTGCACCCAAACCCTGCAGGAGGATAGGCGCCTGCCTGTTCTGCTCTAGCTGCCCATCCCCAAATTGGCCTGCACACCCATGGGTCCCATGCTTCTCGCCACTCTCAGCTCAAATCTTGGTTCCAAAACCATTTGCTTACATCAGAATGGTTGTTCCAAATCCTATGCAGTTTAAGAAAAGGCAGACCTTATTACCATCAGGACCTCACCTCACGTCCTTCTCATGTCTTTTATTCTCCCGAATGATGTCGTACATAGGATCTTCATGTGCCTTAAAGGTCAGAGAAGGGTATAGTTTGGTTAGGCTTCATGGATGCCAGTTAAGTAAGAAATATATGTCATCAAAACAAATGGGGTTTTTAATTGCTTGATGTAACTTTATACGTAACAGGTTCTATTCATTTTTTAAGAGTTCCATCAATGTAAACTCATTAAGGCTACAGAAGGAATTCTCCAAGTAGACAAATACAGGGAGTGATTAAATAGGCTTCAAGAGGGAAAAGGCTAGATTTAAAAATTTTCAGTATTTTGGTAATTTCTACAAGAAACACGTACTTTTTAAACAGGTACTTGAGATACTTTGCATAAAACAGTGGAATGGTCCTAAAGTAAGACAACAGTCAAACTAAGAGTTATTGGATAATTATTGGATAGATAAGAGATAACATTAAGTGAAGCAAATGCGTTCCTGATACGATGATACAGAAGGATGATTCATCCCCATGCACGTGTTACACATCCAAATAAGTGTGAAAATGTACACGTAATACGACCTGATCCCACTCTGAAGAGGCAGGCAGGAATGGACCTATTGGTAAAATCACACTGTGAGGCTCCCATTTAGTAAGGCAAACATGTTCTTACATCATTTAGATGATTTAAAGTGGCTTTATATGTAGAGGAAATGCCAGGCAAAGTATCTCTAGTACCTTCTTAAAAAGTAGGGTTTCTTGGGGCTTGGGATTTAGCTCAGCAGCATAAGCACCTGCCTTGCAAGCAGGCGGTCGTGAGTTCGATCCCTGGTACCGATAAAAAGAAAAAAAAAAAAAAAAAAAAAGTACGTGTTTCTTTTAAAAATTACCAAAATATTACAAAATTTTAAATCTAGTATTTTTCCACCAAGACATAATTACTATTAACATTTAGTATGTGGTAGGGCCTTGTAGTGCATGCCTGAAATCCTAGCATTTTGGAGACTGAGGCAGGAGGATGCCACAGTTTGAGGCCAGCCTAGGCCTCAGTGAGCTCAAGGCCAGCCTGAAGTGCACCATGAGACCCTGTCTCAAAAAACAAAACACAAAGAGCCATTTATTTATTTCCCCCAGTCACCATTCATATTTTATGAAAAATATGAATCACAGTCCATATATATCACTTTTCCCTGTATGAACATTTTCCCATAACATTATACATTCTTCTAAAACATAATTCCTAATATCTAAAAACTTTCTAAATTACAGTATGTTGTTATGCTAAAATCCTGTGTCCCATATTACTTTATTTTTTCTTAGTCTTATCAACATACAGATGTTAATGTTAGGCCTGCAAGGGTTATATCCGTATCCAAACTGTTAGCAGTTGGATCACTAACTTAAAAATGGGTGTTAAGAGCCAGGCCTGATGGTGCACATCTGTAATCCCAGCACTCGGGGGGCTGAAGCTGGAGGATCTTTGTGAGTTTGAGATCAGACCCGGCTACAAAGTGAGCTTAAGGCCAGCCTGAACTGCATAGTGAGACCCTGTCTCAAAAAGACAAAAAAAAAAGGGGGTGGTGGTGTTAAAAGTTTTTAAGATTTATCAACAAACCATGTTTGATACTACTTGTACAGACATTTTACCTTCATTCTCCTAGGTCCAGAATTGTTTTCTGATCAAAATGAAAACATAAAACTTGAAAAGTCTTAAATATTTGGAGGAGTCTGTGGACTCATGAGATATCCTAAAAACCAAGCAGCCCAGGCCCCAGAGCAGAAGCAGTCACTGAGCAGTGAGCCACCACCATATCCTCTGGGAGGGGATTCTTTCAAAGTGAGGAAATGACAGATTGCCTTACTGTCATCTAGGCAGGAAATACACATACACTTCTACCTTAAAGGAGGACGCCAGTCTTTAGACAAAAACTGAAAAATAAAAGCTCTGACTTTAATCATGAAACATGACTTTTTCTTAAATGAGGGTTGAACAGATAACAGACTGTTTTCTTAGGAAAAGAATCATTGCCCCCTGGATAGAAGCACACAGTTCCACGTGTAGTGTAGGTTTTCTTGTTTTCAACGTGTAGTTTTTTGTTAGCACTGTCACACAGATGCATCACAGAGAAGTTAGTATCGCAAACCCTGGCCAAGGGTCTTCGGGGAGCGAAGGTAAGGTGTAGAGTGTGTGCTAACTCACCAGTGGTCACCATCTCCAAAAAATGTAAAATGACACCTCAGGTTTACTCACCACTCTGAACTGTTCCAGCTTTTGGTTGCCTTTGATAAAGAACGGGCATTCTTTGTCACCTGTCCGGTGACCATACCGTTTGCAACGCCAACCTAAAAACAAAGAAAAACAGAAATATTTCTACACAGTAAGAGTTTCACTTGAGAGGTCATTTCAGTAGATTAAAGTTTTTCTTCGTTAGCCTTAAACTCTGAAAGCAAATGCAATCATTGGATTGTTTCCGTGTACATCACTGACTACTACAGTTGGAGGAATATTCCATCACCATAGCTTCTTCTTTCTCAGGTTCAATCAACTACTGTATAAATCTCCCATCTTCAAGTAAACAAAATTACCAGTTCTCTTAAAATGTTAATGCCATCACAGTGCTAGAATAGGAATAGGAATGCTAGAATAGGAAAACTGTCCTGTTTGAAGAGGTTTATAACAAGAAATAACACAGCCCTGATGAGGGAGTGTAATGAAGGAATATATAAACACGTTTCAAGACAACATAGAGAAATGACATCTTCAAGGTCAATGATTATGGATATCAGGCATTGAGCTCTGGAAAAAAGGACCAAGGATGAAGTAAACTTCTTTCACTTGTGTTCATTTGCCCAATTCCATCTGGGTATGGAGCAAATTAGACTGTTTGAGAACAGTGAGCTGAGTAAGAATGTGCGTTCAGGTACTGATCAATGTCAGGAAGCAAGAAGAGAGATCTCGGTAAGATCAGTCAATTTGGCTTGTTTTGGCAACTACAGAAAACTTGTACTATATTGAAATGGAAAGAGAGCTAGGCAGAGTGGCACATGTGTGTGATCCCAGCTGTTCAGCAGGCTGAGGCAAGAGAAGCACAAGCTGAAGACAGCTGGGGCAATTTAAAGGAACTCTGTCTCAAAATTGAATTAAATTAAAAATGACTGGGGGGATAAAACTTGAATGGTCAAGTGCTGGCCTAACATGTGTGAAGCCCTGGATTCAATCCCCAGTAATACAAAAAACAAGAGACATTTCCCTTTCTATTTTTATTGGAGGGTAGATGCAGGAATTATTAAAAGTCTGAGGAAGCAGCATCTGTCTCCATATTGAGGCCAAGCGGACATGAGAAGCCATGGAACACTAGGTGCAGATAACTAAGGGATATCGTTTCTGCTCAAAATTGTCTTCTGGTTAAAGGGAGGATGACTGCTGCAATCCCAAGCACAGTCCACAGCAAAGTGACAATGCAAGATATAAGTCATACAGATTCTCAGGCCCCTCAGGAATACTGATAAGTAACTTGGGTTTGAAAAGATGTGCTAGGGGCTGAGGGTACAGCTCAGTGGTCGGTCGAATGCTTGTCTGTGTGTGATGTGAGGCCCTGGGTTTGATTCCCCAGCACCATAAAGAAAGAAATAATAAAAAATAAATATGCACCGCCAGTGCACAAGGTCTGGAGTTTTATCCCCAGTGTCACAAAATATAAATAAAGATACACTGCTAATTTATGGACAGATCAAAGTTTCAGAATCAATTTTCTACTTAATCCCTGAGTTCCTGAACTCAATGTGTGTGTGTGTGTGTGTGTGTGTGTGTGTGTGTGTGTATGTATGTGTTCCCGGGGACCTGAGTTTAATCAGGTCTATATGATGTGGTAGGAAGAAAGAAGAAAAGGCTATTTAGGATCCAACAGCAGAAGTATTCTACCTTGGAAACTTTACAACAGGTGACCATAGGCACACTACTTGGGTCCCCCAAGACCTTGAAAGGCACAGTCACAAAGATGATGCATAAGCATCATGAACTGTAATTTAACTGGTGGACACTTGCTCAGCATGTGCCAGGCCCTGGGTTCAATCTCCAGCATTGCAAAAGAGAAATGTAAAATCCTGAGTGAAATACAAACTACATTTCAATACAAAACAGTACTGGGGACTGGACCCAGGGCATTCACACTGAACTATGCCCTAGGCCCCTTTTCTTTTTGTCTTTTTCCTTTTTATCGGTACCGGGGATGGAACTCACGACTGCCTGCTTGCAAGGCAGGTGCTTATGCCGCTGAGCTAAATCTCCAGCCCCTCCCTTTTGTATTTTTTGAGACAGGGTTTTGCTAAATTCCCAAGTTGCTCAAGCAAGCTAAGCTTCAATTCACCATCTCTTGCCCCAGCCTCCAAGGTCCTGAGATTACAGGGCAAATTGTTTAAAAGAAAAAAATTATAGACCTCTAGGTGATGGTAGGCACCCATCTGCTTTCATCTTCTTCCATGGATTCCATAAAGAAGATGAGGATTCACCTAAAAAATGATATACCAGAGCAGGGCATGGTGGTGCAAACCTATTATTCTAGCTACTAGTGAGGCTAAGGCAACTTAAGTAAGATCCTGTCCTCAAAATAAAACATAAAAAATGGCTGGGATGCTAAGCACAGTGATGGATGCTTGAGTTAGATCCTCAGTGCTGTAAAAAACCTTTCGGTCCTCCTGTCTGAGCCTGGGATTCTGGGTGTGTATCACCACACCCAGCCTCTGCAAAGGACAGTGCCAGGAGGCAGAGGCAGGAGGATTGCTGTGAGTTTGAGACCAGCCTAGGCTACAAAGTGAGCTCAAGGTCAGCCTGAAGTGCATAGTGAGACCCTGCTTCAAAAAAAAAAAAAAAACCAAAAACCAGGAGGCAGCAGAACTGTGGGCGAATGGTGCCACTATCCTTTGGGCTGCCACACTGAATGCTACCACCAATGGCTTAACGATGGAAATTGTTCTCAGTTCTGGAGCTCAGCTTTCTGAGAACAGAGGACCAGCAAGGCAGGTCTGTGGCACAGGTGTGGAATGGGGTTTCTTCCTTGCTTGCAGATGACGGTCCTCTCCCTATCTTCCCATGGCAGACAGGAAGGGGAGAGGTCAGGGCTGACAGAGGGAAAGGGGGATGAAGACTTTCTATGACTTGTTTTTTAAAGACCACTAATTGCATCATGATAGCCTCATTCGCATAACCTCACCTAACCCAATTCCCTCTCAAAAGCTCTATCTCCAAATATTGTCATGTTAGAGATGAGGACTTCAGGATATGAATTTGGGAGACAGGAAATTCACTAAACTCAAAAATACTGTAGTATTAATTTTGGGATGGGGACATTATGCAGGATAGAAGGAAAAGTAATCTGTTTACTCTGACTTACCTCTCAATATAACATACTAAATACCAAAGCCTAGGACATAATTACTGGGAAAATGAGATATGTAAGGGTACTTGCAGAATGAGGGCAAATGCAAGAGTAACATTCTCATCTTTCATTGCATGGTGTCAAGAAATAATGTCTAGTTGACATGCTGGGTGTTACTGTACAGATCTAAAATATCCCCTAGAAGTCTCTCATGTTCAGAGTAGGACTTTCCTCTGAAGGTGACTGGATCATGGAAGTGCTGGACACATCAGTGGATTCACCCATCAATGAGTTCACAGCTCACTGTGCTGTGAGGAGGCAGGGCTGGCTTGGAGTTGGATCATGGGCAGGTAACCTAGAAGGGGTTCACTGTTGTCCACAGCTTCTCCCTTATCTTGCCCTGCTTGTTACCATACCGTGAGCAGCTGTCCTCTGCTAGGCCTTCTACCATGGTGCTTCTGTTGTGGAGCCAGCCAGGTGTGACCTGACCCACTGAAACCGTAAGCCAAAATAAACTTCTCCTTTAAATTTCAGACATATTTTGTCTCAGCGACAGAAAAATAACTAATATAGACAGACATCTTGTAATCTCAGCTACTTGAAAAGTTGAGGCAGGAGAATTGCAAGTTTATGGTTCAATTCCCAGTACAGTGAAACAAGGGCAAGAGAGATGGTGGGGTGGGGGGAGAAGGAAACCAAGCCTAAACCTAAAAAAAAAATATATGTATATACAAATCAAATTTAAAAATCAAAAAACAAAAGTTTTTTGTTTTTGTTTTTTTTTTGGTACTGGGAATTGAACTCAGGATCTCACTAAGCTACATCTCCAACTTTTTAGCACACACAGAACCACCATGTGCCTTGCTGATATTTTTCTCATTTTAGATAATCTCATAAAAACAAACCCCTTGAAGTCAGCCTGTGACCCGCCTCATGCAGGGTGTGGTGCTTTCCCACTTGTATAAAGATGAGCAATCTTACCACAAGCTGGGACAGCCTGGTTCTGGCAGAGGTTATCATATAGGAGTCTGTGACACGAGTCACACACTGTCCACTCCAACTGCCTCTATCAGCCCTGCTGAGAAGGCAGTTACACAGGACCCTGCATGGCACAGACCAACTTTATATCAACCAATGGAAAATGCTTTGCTCTGTGTAGAGGGCCTCTGTACTCCTGAGGGGGTCTGGTAACACAAGGAAAGCACTATTCACACCTCTGACAGAGGGCACCAAGAAGGCCAGGCACAGGGACCTGCTGCCCTGTGTTCCTACCCTGGTTACATCCTCACCGTGAGTATGCTTCCGTGCAGGCACCTTGGGCAGCCTGGGTCCAAAGGAGGACCTTGGATGGGCACAACAAGCCAGGAGTCTAAACTGTGTGATGCCTCCTCCTCTAGCCATGGACACCATGCCTTGGCTATGACATGGACCCACAGAGGTCACAAAAAGGAGCAAATGCATCTTCCTGGTGTACGTGTGACTGATGTGTAATGAGCATTCCCAGAGCCCCGCCACACTCACACTGCATCACTTTGACCTCCTTCCCCAGTGGCATCCAGAGTCCTTTCGTGGGTGCATGTGCCAGGAACTCCCGGGCGTGCTCGTTGCCTGGCACGTCAGGGATGCAGTCTTCCGGCTTGCTCTCATCTTCCTGTGTGGGAGGAAGAGTGGTTAGCAACCTAGGCTAAAGCACAGGCTTGCTCCTTCCTATTCAGAACCCATGGCACCTGGCCTGCTCCTGGGCTCCTCCTGTCACCCCCTGAACCAGAAAGAAAGGCAAGTCATGTCTGACAGGAGAGGTGAGGGGTTAAGAGGAAAGGGCTACACCAAAAACACAGCTGCCCTTCACAGAGGCAAGTTACTAATGAAGCATATATCTGTACTCCACACAGGAAGGACCTGTGAGCTCCATATTCTTATGTGCATTAGACTCCAAGAGCTGGGTGTGGTGCACACCTCTCATCTCAGTGCTTTGAGAGGCCGAGACAGGAAGATCACAAGTATAAGGCCAGCCAAGGCAACTCAGTGAGACCCTGTCTCAAAAATAAAAGTCAAAAAAGGCTGGAGATGTTAGTTCAACGTGAGTGCCCTAGGCTCAATCCTCATTACTACTAAAAGAGAAAAGGAGGGTCAGGGATTTAGCTCAGTGCTGTAAGCACCTGCCTGGCAAGCGCAAGGTTGAGGGTTCAATACCAGGACCAAAAAAAAAAAAAAAAAAAAAAAAAAAAAAAAAAAAACAGAAAAACAAAACCAAAACAAAACTGGAAGATCAAAAAAGGGTTCACAACCTGCAAATCTGTGGGGTCAGCCCAGGTATAAAAACTAACACATGCCATTTTCTCAAACAATGGAGGTTGTAAATTATGTTCTAGCAGCTCGCTATGCCTGAAAGGTCATGGTCAGGCAGTCACCACTGAGTAACTGCACTGACAATTCAGATGTTTCTCCCTCTACTTTTTGATTTTTTAAAAGTTCCTATGAGTAATACAATAATACTAGATGAGCTGGGTGTGGTAGCACATGCCTATAATCCCCACACTCAAGAGGCTGACCCAGACATATGGCCATGAGATTGAGGCCAGCTGTGGCTACATGGTCAATTCAAGGCTAGCCTGAACCACATAGCAAGATTCTGTCTCAAAACAAAACAAAAATCAAAAAGTAAATACATTCACACTCAAAATAGATTTTCATAATCTTTTTTTTCCTTTTAAGTTGAAAGGTTCCTACAAGAGGAGATAGATTTTTTTGGCTTCTGCTTGTGACTGCTGATCCTCCTGTGCAGCAGAGCACATGCTAGGGGTCACTGCCCAGAGGCTGCAGTGGTGTCTGGGCCTCCTTAGGGGTCACTGTCTGGGTCAAGGATCCTCGAGACCCCAGCATGGTAGCCTGAGAAATTGGGGGGCAGACAAAGAAAATGGGTGTGGAGCCCAGGACAGCAGGCTGACCAGATGGACACCAAGGCCCTCGGCGGCGCCTGTGTGACAGCTGAAGGACAGAAGTGGGGGGGGGGGTTCAGAGCAGCAGGATCATAGCCTGTGCACTCCCGTCATTACTCAGAGCAAGATACTGTGTCTACAGCACGAGCAGCAGAACAGCCGAGAGTGCAGGCATCACACTGACCTTGATCAGCCCAGGGGGAGGCTTCTCATAACTGGAAAACAAACACAAAACCAAAACTCCATCAGCCAGGTTGGCAGGGACACGGGCACACTTCCAAGCATGAAAGTAACTTCTCTGTCAGAATGAAAAGGATATTCTGTAAAAACTTAAAAGACTGCACTATTATCACTTAAAACAGACCAATCATGCTAATCCGATGTAAACAAACTGATACTATTCTATCACAGTCTGCAGAGATCTAGAATTTAATTTACTGAAAAAGTCAAGTATTGTCCTAGCACACTGATTTTAATTTGGGAAAAGGGAAAGTAAGAGAATCCAAGAAAGGTGAGGTAAGAAGCTGGTCTCAGGACATCACAGTGGCTGTCTGGAGATCCACCCAGCCTCCTGCCAGGCTCCAGGAAAGCGCACCACCACAGCTGGGAGCTCTACCACAGCTGGGGGAGCCAGGGGAGAGGCCCAGAGGTGGGATCTCCCAGGGTGAGGCCTGCTCCTGCTCGGATCTCCTTCCCTACCCCATGCCTTCTATGTCAGGGTTCAGAATGTCCCCCAAGGCTCATGTGTTCCAGGTGGGTCTCATGGAAGTGACTGGATTGTGGGGGCTTCACATTCATCAGTAGATTTGTGCACACGAATACCTGGCTGCCTGTGCTGGAGGAGGAGGGGCTGACTGAAGGTGAGGATTGGGGGTGACCTGAAAGGACATGCCCTTGTCACCAGCTCTCCCCTTGCTATCTGCTGGCCACATGATGTGTGCCACTTTTTCTCCTCATTCTCTCCGCTAGGCCATTTCTGCCTTGGAGCCAACCAACCACTAACTGCAACTGTGAGCCAAAGTAAACCTCTTCCCTTAAGTTACGAGTACCAGGTATTCTGTCTCAGGAACACAAGAGTGACTGAGATACTCTCCACAGCAGTGTACAGGTGCCTGCTGAGTGCCCCATCCACAAGCCACAGTCAATTCCCTAAGATACCACGGGAGTACTGCAGCCCTGGCATCCGGAGGTTGCAAACCAGATCTATGCGCTGGCTGCCCTTCACTTTCTGCCCCTCTGCTGAGACAGGCTGAAGAGGCTGCTAAATTTAATTTGTCCAAAGCTTTTGCTGTAATATTTTGTTTGATAGGCTAGCAACCACCATCACAGGCCAACAACACACTTTGTGAATTCGTAACCACGAGGGATAAAGCAACTTGTGCCAGGGCACAGGCCAGGGTAAGGCTGCTGTGGAGGTGATGAGCTGCTGCCAGTCACTGTGTGCCAGCCTCCGTAGCAAGCCTTACCTGCACACAATCGTTGGTGTAGCTGGAATCCAAGAATAATTATTCTAGTACGTTTGTCACTGGTGTGGAATGGAAGACCACACGAATACTTTACAGAGCTTGAACATTACTTGATTTTGTTACAGGTAGCATTCTGAACCCAGCTTTTCCTAAATTTTTCCTACCAAAAACATCGCTCATTTATTTGCTTTAAGAGAGAAAGAATGGGAGTGGTGGCACATACCTATAATCTCAGCACTCAAGAGGCTGAGGCAGGAGGATTGCCCCAAGTTGCAGGCCAGCCTAGGATACACAGTGGAGTTCAAGGTCTAGTCTGGACTTTGTAGTGAGACTCTGACCCAAAAACCAAAGAGAAAAGAAAGAAGAAACGAAAAACCAAAAGAAAAGAATAAGGAGGAAGTGAGGGAAGCAGGGGGAGGGAAGAGAGATACCTAAAGCAAGCTACAGAACTAAGAATGTGGTTCAATAATTTAGCACTTAGGCCCTAGGTTCAATTTCTAGCACTCCCCAAAAGTGTGCATGTGTGTATGGGGGGCTCGTAAGTTTTGACAACACCCATCGAAAGGAAAACTGTGCACTTGGGAGGAGAAAAGGAAGCTGGCTGAGCAGCTCTAAAATAAGAGACTAGGCGGATACTAAAGCCACATTCTCGTGTGTTGATGCCTGTTGATGCCATGTGGTGGGTGCCCAATTAACTCTTAAGGAAACATCCAGCCAGCGCTATTGGAGGCACACGCCAGTAGATGTCAAATGAAAAGAAACCGGGTTTATAGTTTTTAATCAGAGTCTTTAGTAATAATTCACTTTCTTCTTGAACACAACAACCAAAACACGACTGAGACCTGAACATTCCCGGTTGGCATATCCATTTGGAGCAAGCACTGTTGACAAACTGCAGACAGACGAACAGATCTGAACAGCTGCGTTTTGCATAAAGAAACGGACATCAGCACGGCACTTGTGCTCGGCAGTGACGCGCCAGCCTTGGGCCCCAGAGGTCCGAGAGGCTCGGCGGGGAGGACCCGCGGCGCCCACCCCGAAACGCCCGCCGCGGCCCTCATCGCCCTGCGTTCCTGACGCAGACCCCGGGGGGAGCGGGCGCCGGCTCCCCCGGCCCAAGCGAGGTCGCACCCGCGCCTGTGGCCTCTGCGGCCCCGTCCCTGGAACCCCCGAAGTCCTCGGTTCACTGCGCGGCCGCAGGCCCCGCCGCCTCCCGCCCTCGGGGCCCGCACGAGCGCCGCGCTCACAAGTGCTCCACGTGCCGCAGCTCCCGCAGCTGCTCCGCGTCCCGTCGCCGCCGCTTCTGCTCCTGGCGCCGCCGCAGCTCGTGCTCCGGCTCCCGCGGCCGCCGCGCGCCCCCAGACCCCGCGCCGCCGGGCCCAGGCCGGGACGACATCGCGGCCCTGCGCCCCGCCGCGGCCGACACGGCACCGCCTCTACGGCGCGCGTTCCCGCCAGCGGGCGCCCCCTGGCGGAAGATGGCGGGGCCGGGAGGCGGTGGGGCGCGAGCCGATGAGGGGAGAGGGGGCGGGGCGAGAGTGGGAGAGGCGGGATCTGAGGAAACTTCCTGGGGCGGGAAGGGCGGGGCCCCGTAGGCGGGGGTCCTGGCGTGCGGCCTGGTGGGAGTTGAGCGTGGCCTGAGGGGCTTCCTGGGGCCGGACGCACGGGCCGGGGGGCGGAACGTGAGTTGGGCGGGGCCTGGGCGGCTTCCTGGGTCACCTCCCTTGGTGGCCACACCCCCCGCTGGCCCCTCTGCTCCTTCGCCCTCGGGAAGATTATGTGGTGTCAGCCACCCCTGAGTGACGCGCTTTGCTGTTACGGAGTAGTAGGAGTCATCCATTTTGGGAAGAAGGCAAGGCTCTCCATGTAAATACTCTCGTTTTCCTGAGCATGGGATCCAAAGTTCAAACATAGTATATACCATATTGACCATGGTTTGGGTGCTGCTGGAAGTGAGTCAAACCCTGAATAAGAATAGATCTCATCGTTTTTGCCCCCAGGACTGGAATGGAACCCATTTCCTCACGGCCTGCTAGGCAAGCAATGTAGGATTGAGCTATACCCTAATCTCAGAATTATTTAAATTTAAAAAGCATAAGGGACTGGGGATTTAGCTCAGCAGCATAAGCGCCTGCCTTGCAAGCAGGCACTCGTGAGTTCGATCCCTGGTACCGATAAAAACGAAAAAGACAAAAAAAAAAAAAAAAAAAAAAATTTAAAAAGCATAACTGCTTGCCTGGGGATGTACCTCAGTTGTAGACAGTTTCCCTACCCTGTGCCAGGCCCTGAGCTCAATCTCAAGAATCAACAAATTACATAAGATAAAGTATACCTGCTGATGCTATCTTGATTTTATAGGCGGGCAGGCACAGAGAAAAAAGTGACATGCCCAGTGACCCACAACTATTAAACCCTGAGGCAGGATCCAGAAGTGTCAGGATGTATATTGAAAATGTATCTGATTTGTGGAGTTATGCTAGCTGTTGAACATAATGAAATAATCCACAAAGAAGGTAAAAATAACAGCACAGAGACATAATTGCCTTAAATGTGGTATTCTCTGTGGTTAATACCTGAAATATACAAGAAACTTTCTCAAATTTAGGATGGAAATTCCAAGTGGATACACAAAAGCCATAAAGAAATGTGACAAAGTTCCACTTGGAAACACACTACAAAGTTAGTGATCAGAACTTGGAAACCAGGCACAGTATGTTGGCATATATACCTGTAATTTTGGCACTTGGGAGGCTGAGGCAGGAGGATCTCTGTGAGTTCAAGGTCATCCTAGGCTACATAGTGAGTCCAGACCAGCCTAAACTACTTTTGAGACCCTGCCTCAAAAAACAAATGAAAGAATTAAAACAAAAAAACTTGGAAAGCAGGCTTCCGAGTGAACTGGCAAGTGAACCAACCTTTGCAGCAAATTTCCTAGACCAGTAAGTGGCCTGTAAAGATCTTTCCAGACATGTTTTGGCACCCTTGTCAAAAAATAATTTAGCCCAGACCAGGGACATAGCTCAGTGGCACAGAACCTGCCTGGCAAGCATGAGACCCTGAGTTTGATTTCTAGTACCAAAAAAAAAAGTTTAGCCACCTGTATGAGGGCTTATTTTGGGCTTTCTGCACTACTCCATTTCTATATGTCAGTGCCACACTGTTTGGAAAACTGTAGCTTTGTAGTAAGTTCTCAAGCCAGAAAATGTGATGCTCCCATTTTTGTTTTTTGTCAAGATTTATTTGGCTGTTTGGGGGTCTCTTGAATTCCCGTATTTCAGGATGGGTTTCACTATTTCTGCACAAAGCTTCATTGTTATTTTGATGGTTATTGCTTTGAATCTGTAGATGATTTTTGGTAGAATTGATATCAATATTAAGCTTTCCAATCTATGAGCATGAGTTATGTTTCCTTTTTGTCTTTAGTTTCTTTCCACAATATTTGTTCTGGTACCAGGAATTGAACTCACAACCTTGCACTTGCCAGGCAGGCACTGTGCCACTGAGCTATAGCTCCAGCCCTCTGTGATATTTTACATGTTTCATTATACAAATCTTCTACCTCCTTGGTTACAAAAACTGTATTCATCAGTATTTTATTCTTTTCAACACTGTTATCAATGGAATTACTCTGACAACTTGTTTTTCACATTCTTTGTTAGTGGAGTGTAGAAATACAACTGATTTATGTGGGTTGGTTGTGTAGCCTAAGATTCTGCCAAATTCATTGATCAGTTCCAACAACATGGCCCTAAGTTTTACTGAGGTTAGGGATAGTGTCTTAGTTACTTTTCTCATTATTGAGACTAAAAACCTGATATCCAAAATTAAAGAAGGAAAGGTTTATTTAGCTCACAGTTTATGGAAGTTCAGTCCATAATCTGCAGGCTCCAAGACAAGGTGGCACATGGCAGAGGGCCAATTGCTCATGGCAAAGAAAGACAGCAGAGGCCACAAGAGAAGGGTCAAACCCTTTTCTGTCCCTTATATTGATGCACTCCTACCCTTAATCCCAGCCCTGGACCATGAATCCATACTCCAGATTTAGCCACCTTTGAAAGCTCTCACCATGACTGCATGAGGCTTGGGGGGTGGGCAGCGGCATCTACTTATCCAGTGAGTTTCCTGCACAAGGCCCAGGGCGTTATGTAGTTTGAGCTTCCCCTCTGGTGCCAGGTGAGGGAGTGCATGCTTTTTAATCACCTTGTCCACCGGTGAGCCACCGAGGACAGTGGAAGTAAAGTCTGAAAGTTGTAAATTATTGGACCTTAAAACTGGGATGGCTGGGCACTGCTATGTGGCTGTTTTCTCCACTACTCATGGTGCTCAGGCAGGAGGACTGCTTGAGCCCAGGCTTGTGGCACCAGCATGGGAAACACAGACCCTGTTTCAATATAATAATAGCAGCAGCAGCAGCAACAACAATAATAGAAAAAGTGATAACAGAATCAGGACCACTTCAAAATCCAGTCCAGTTTTTTGATAGTGCAGTAATACAGTAATAGTCCATTTACTAACCAATGAGACAAGCAGGAATTCTTTCCCTGGTGGTTATAATTCTAAAATGTTATTTTCACCCATCGCCCCTTACGCCTGTAGCTTCAGAGCCAGGTGCAGGTCGTCTCTCTCCAGAGGCAGAGCAAGCATTTAGTGGGCCAGGGATGTGCTGGGGACACACTACACTTGTGCTCAGGTGCCTTGACCAGGCAAGAGGATAGAAATACCTTGTATTCTATCCTAGAGTACGCTCCTGCCTGTGATCCTCTCAATCTCCTCTTTAGCCCCCTTTTAAGGTACAGATTATTCTTTCTTGTTGTTCTGGGGATCAAACTCAGGATCTCACCCATAGTAAACACACAGTCTGTCACTGAGTTACACACTCAGCCCCAGGTTCATTTTTTTTTATGGTTTTTTTTTTTTTTTTTTTTGAGACTAGATGTCGCTATGTAATTTAGGCTGGCCTTGAATTCGTATGTGGCCCACATTGGCATTGAATTAGCAGAAATCAACCTGCCTCCACCTCCTGAGTGCTGGAATTATAGGTATACACTCAGAACCATGCCTGGCTCAAGATTTATTTTTTTGATAAAGTGCCTTTAGTGTTGGCCAAATCACAGTGGGTCAGTTTAGCTGTTTGTTGACAGATAAAAGGCCTTTCAGAATGAGCAGAGCAACTGCAAGCAAGACCAGGGTTTCTTCTGCTTGTATTGAACACCTTTCCTATTCTTTTGCTGCTAAGGCATATTTTTGAGCTGTTACTGCACAAATGATCTTTTTCATACTGGGGAAGCAAAAAAAAAAAAAAAAAAAAAAAAAGGAAAAAGTGGGTAAAAAGTGAAGATGGTAAAGAATCATGGCCAGGTTTTTAAAATCGGATTGGTCGTTTTCTTGTTTTTTGTTGTTGAATTGTTGTGACCTTTATACGTTCTAGAAATTAACCCCTTGTCAGTGGCATAGTTTGCTAATATGATCTCCCTTTCTGGAAGCTGGCTCTTACTCTGTGGATGGCTCCCTTAGTTGTAGTTTCCTTCCTCTTCAGTTTGATGTGGTCGATGTGTCAGTTTCTGCCGTGTTTCCGGTGCTTTGGGGCTTTATCCTAGCCAAACAATCCCTGCCCAGACCAATGGGCCTGAAGTGTTTCTGCTTTCTTCCACCAGTTTTATATCCTACGTTGATGTTTTTGATTCACGTTTTAATTGATATTTTGTATGTGGCAAAGAATAGGGGGGTAGTATCTTTCTTCTGGATATGCATATCCAGTTCGTTTCTTTCTTTCTTTTTCTTTCTTTCTTTCTTTCTTTTTTTTTTTTTTTTTTTTTTTGTCTTTTTCCTTTTTATCGGTACCGGGGATCGAACTCACGACTGCTTGCAAGGCAGGTGCTTATGCCGCTGAGCTAAATTTCCAGCCCCTATATCCAGTTCTTTTCAAACACCATTTATTAAAGAGACTGTCCACTATCCAAGATTCCTTCTTACTTCCTTGGCAAAAAAAAATTAAGATTGCTATAAATATGTGCATTCTTTTTTCCCTTTTCCTGTTTTCTTCTTCCCTCCCACCTTTTTCTTCCCTTCCTTTTCCACCCACCTCCTCTCTCTCCCTCCCTTCCTCTTCCCCCACCCCAGATTGAACCCAGAGTCTCACACATGCCAGCAAGCACTCTACCACTGAGATATACCCCAACCCCCTTTTCTTTTCCTTTTTTAATTTTTAAGATGGAGTCTCTATGTTGATCAGGCTACAAACTCCTGGGCTCAAGAAATCTTCCTGCTTCAGCTTCTGTAGCAGTTGGAATTTCAAGCGTGGGCATCAGGTCTGGCCGCAGAAGAGAAATTTCTGCTGCTTTTTGGTTTTTCTAAAAGCAGAATGAGGTCTGACTTTGATCTTCAGGACACAGAAAACAGTGGGTTTTCTCTTTCTTTGTGGTTTTACCTCCAAGCTGTGTGTATATTAACTTCTCATCTCTTTCCTTTCTCTGTTCTTTGGGCTGCACAGCTGAGACCATCTCAGAATTTCCCCCTTACCACCAATATAAGCAGCTCCAATAGAAACAGTGAACATCTCTTGTTTGTGTTATCTGTAAGTTCTTGTTAAATCCCTGGAATCTAAAATAATCATATGTATGTCATGTAATTATCATGTTTTATCTTTGTCTTACAGAGGACGCTGACACTTTATTTTTTTATTGGTACCAGGGATTGAACTCACGACTGCCTGCTTACAAGGCAGGTGCTTATGCCACTAAGCTAAATCCCCAGCCTGGATGCTGACACTTTAACTTACAAAGGTATCCAGACATGTATTGCATTTATCTTGCAATACACAGTTGAGTTCAACTGTTCATGCTTTATTTAGTATTTACTTATTTTGTGTTTATAAATGTGAGTGATGCCCTGTTTTCTCTACCTCTTTCTCTTTCTGCTGGATTAGGTTTGTTCGCAAAAGGAATTAAAAGGACTTTGGGGACTTATTTCAAAGTTTCAACAAACGTTACAGCCAATTGTGAGCCGAGGCTAAGCTTAGCACAGCGGGCATCCCTTGGCACCGGGTTTCCATCCCCGAGTCCTGCGCACACGGTCACGGGTGGGCGCCTGGGGTCTGGGTGCTGGGTAGCTCCAGGCCAGCGCGCTCGCGCCTCCCCCGACGGCGGCCCGCACCGTCCGTCCATCGCAGTGCTCTCCTTGCTATACGGAAACATCCTGGAGTATGCTGTGATGTGGAACCGCCCCCGTGACTAAGTTAAAAACAGTAAGCTCTAAATTTCAGCCCCGCCGCCTCGCAGGCTTCTCGCGCGGTCCCAATCCCAAAGTTACTGGGGTGACCCGCTGCGGGGCGGGACGCGGCCGACGCCTAGAGGCTCCACCCTCTCCGTGCCCCCTCCTCCCTGCCCTGGCCCCGCCCACCCCTTCCCTTCCCTTCCCTCCCCTCTCTTCCCCTCCCTTCCCTTCCTTTCCCTCCCCTCCCCCCTCGCCGCCCCGCCTTCCTCTCCTCCCAGCCGGGCGCGCGGCGTCCACGTCCCCACAGCCGTCCCCGCGCCCCACGACGATGGCGCCTCCGACCCTGCGCTTTCCGCCGCCGCCCCTGGTCCTGCTGCTGCTCTGGGTGACAGGGCAGGCGGCGCCCGTGGCTGGGCTGGTCCTGGACCCCGAGTCCGAGCTGCAGATCGAGCGGCGCTCCGTGCCTCCCGAGTGCCCGCGCGCCGTGCGCCCCGGCGACTTCGTGCGCTACCACTACGTGGGCACCCTGCGCGACGGCCGCCGCTTCGACGCCAGGTACGAGGGCGCCCCGCGTCCTCCTGCACCCGCCCCTTGCTCCCCGTGCACCTCGGGCAGGACCTCCCCCTCGGGCCCGCGTCTGTCTGCTGAGATCTGGCGACCTCGTGTGCGGGGCGGGGCCGGGCGGATTTCCTACCCGTGCCCCCCCCCAGCGTACATGCGACTCGGGTTTACACCCCGATAAATGGCCAAGCCGGAGGCCCGAGACGGTGCCAGCTGGTCCCCGTGTGCTTCCTACGCCGCAGACACTGGCCCAGCGGAGGACTGAGCGCTGTGTTCCTAGATGATAGTCTCCCTTACTGCTCCCTGCGGTCCAGTGGGGTCTCAGAGTCTTCCCTGGCCCCCGAAATCACAGCGCGCTCTCGCGCTCCCCAGGCTATGCACTTCTGGCTTCTGCCTTGCTCACTGGGCGCATGCAAGCAATACCGGGCCGTGTCTTCCCGCAAATTCCAGATGGCCAGTGCATAAACAAAAGCCAGTGTAGCACGCAGCACGCTGTGCACTCAGCGACGTGAACACTTGGAAACGGTCACTCTTACTAAGTTATTGGGCGGGGAGCTGGGGATGGATGGAGCCCAGTGCCTTGGACACGTGAGGTAGGTGCACTGAGCTGCACCCACACTATTACTCTTGCTTCTTTGCACCTTTTAAAAACACAGCTTTGAGGTGTAATTCCTATATAGTTTACCCATGTAGAGTGTGAAATTCAGTGGTTTTTATATAGTCACACAAACATCATCATTAACTCCATAACATTTGGATCCACGAAGAAAGGAGAGGCTGCATCCACAGCAGGCCCTTTCCAGCTCCATCCACCTCCCCTCTTGCCTTTGGGAACCACTAATCTCTGTGCCTCCCAAACTTGCCGTTCTGCACATTTTATATGCATTGAATCATGCAATTTGTGGTGCTTTGTGTCTGGCTGCTTTTCACAGCGTGATGTTTGCAGACTTTGTCGGTGAGTCGTGTGTGTCAGTACTTCTCATTTCATGGATGTGTACATAACACTGGATTGTATGGATTTATGGATGTACCAGGTTTCCTCACCCTTTCTGTTCACCCACCATTTAGCTCGTTGACACTTTTTGGCCACTGAAGAATGATGCTGTGAATGCTCATTACAGGAGTTTGTGGGCACGTTTCTTTTTTCTTTTCTTTTCTTTTCTTTTTTTTTTTTTTTTTGACTTTTTGAGAGTGTCTTGCTGTGCAGTTCAACTGGCTTTGAGCTCACTTTGTAGCCCAGGCTGGTCTCGAACTCCCGATGATCCTTCTGCCTCAGCCCCCTGAGTGCTGGGACTACAGGTGTGTGCCACCACGCCCGGCTATATGTTCTCTTGAATAGATACCTAGGAGTGGAGTTGAAAGTTCATACCATATCTGTGTTTAGGTTTTCGAGGAACTGCCAAATTGTTTTCTTTCCACCATGGTCACACTTTTTCAGTTCCTCAAGAAGTGTTATCTTTTCTCCATGTTCTTGCAGACTGTAGATATTGTGCTTTTGATTGTGGCCATCCTGGAGGTGCTGTCTCACTTTTTTTGTTTTTTGTCTTTTTGAGACAAGGTCTTGCTATGCAGTTCAGGTTGACCTTATGCTCACTTTGTAGCCCAGGCTGCTCTCCTGCCTCTGCTTCCCAACACACGGTGGTTTTTTTTTTTTTTTTTTTTGCTTTTTCGTTTTTATTGGTACCACGGATTGAACTCACGACTGCCTGCTTGCAAGGCAGGTGCTTATGCCGCTGAGCTAAATCCCCAGCCCCCACACTGTGGTTTTGATACTACTTTCCTAATGGTGATTTGTATCCATTACTTTTCCCTAGTCTTTAGCTACTTTCATTTGTTCCTTTTGCTAGAATACAAAGAGAAATTTTTTCTTTTCTTTCTTCTTCCTCTCTTTCCTTCCTTCCTTCTCCTTGAGGTAGGAGTCCTATTATGTTGCCCAGGCTGACTGCCAGCTCAGCATCCTCCTGCCTCAGCCCTCTGGAGTAGCTGGGTGGGAAGAATTTATAGTTGATAGTAATGAGTAGATCCCACTGGACTATGTTACTTCGCTCCTTGGGAGGTGCTGTAAGACAGTAGAAAGGCCCAGTGGTCCTGCAGGGTGTCCCCGCCCTGGCCCACCATGGCTAGCCTGGGGGATACAGCTTGGTGTGATGGGGACAATAAGAGTCGCACATGCAGACTCTGCGGGATTTCTATACAGTTTTCCAGGTGCCTTTGCCTGTGTTCATTCATTTCAAAAGGATTTACTGAATTCTCACAGGACAGCGAGGAAGGTGTCTTGTTACAGATAAAAAAAAGTGAGGCTTACCAGCCTCAAATGACTTGCCCAGAACTCCTGACTGCAGGATGATCAAGTGGAAATTTTATCCCTAACAGGTTATGGCTTTCACCTGCAGTCTGTAGTTTACTGGTAAATATGGTAGAAGAAAAGCACGAGCCCCTGAGAACACCCCAAGTCTTGACTGTGTTGTGTGTGGAGCAGGGCGGGATGATTGGAGGAGTCCTGGGATAAGGGCTAAGATCTAAGGACAAGTCCCAGTTTCCTAGCGAGGAGAGGCTGTGGGGAGTGGGGCAGGCTGGGAAACTGAGCTGGTCAGTGTGTGCTGAGCTTGGAGGAGACACATGGGGTCAGGGATGAAGGCACAGGTAGGAGGAAGCCAGAGAGGACGGGTGAGCTAGTCATCTTTTTTTTTTTGGTCTTTTTTCATTTTTATCGGTACCAGGGATTGAATTCATGACTGCCTGCTTGCAAGGCAGGCGCTTATGCCGCTGAGCTAAATCCCCAGCCCCGAGCTAGTCATCTTTTAATGATTTCATTGGTGAGTATTTATTTATTTATTTATTTATTTTTCTTCTTCTTTTTTTTTTTTTTTTTTTTTTTTTTTTTTGGTGTGTACTGGGGATCGAACTCATGACTGCATGCTTGCAAGGCAGGTATTTATGCTACTGAGCTAAATCCCCAGCCCCCCCTTTTTTTCTACTTCTTGAGACAAGGTCTCACTATGCAGTTCAGGCTGGCCTTGCGCTCACTTTGTAGCCCAGACTGGTCTCAAACTCACACCAATCCTCCTGCTTCAGCCTCCTGAGTGCTGGGATTATAGGCATGTGCAACCACACCTGGTTTCATCTATAAGGTTTTTTTTTTTTTTTTTTTGTCTTTTTCCTTTTTATGGGTACTGGGGATCAAACTCACGACTGCCTGCTTGCAAGGCAGGCGCTTGTGCCGCTGAGCTAAATCCCCAGCCCCTCATCTATAAGTTTTAATAAACAAAAAAGAACTGTGTGTACCTATGGGCACAGTGTGATTGTGATGGGCCAGCTTTGGAGACATTGTGCTTATGTAGCAGTGGACTTGGTCTAAGGGTCAGTGGAGAGCCAGCAAAGACTCTGAATCTTAGGACAGAGAGACTGTGTGGTTCAAAGGCCCACGTGGCTGCAGGGTAGGGTGCAGCTGAGACTGCTAGGTACACAAAGACCTCACTCTCAGGCCTCTTTTCCTTTGGGAATTTGTGCCATGAAAGGGCTTAGCTTTGAATGCCTAAGCAGTGTGCCAGGAAGGAGGAATGGAGGGGATCGAGCTTTGGTTGGTACCTGGAGGCTTGGCCCAGAAGAACACAGACTCTGGGGAAGCCCCCACAATGGGCCAAAAAAGGTCCTTTTTCCTGGGAGCTTTTTCCCCCCTGAAGCCCTGCCTGCTCTCTGGACGATTCACCACTGCCACTCACAAACCTTGGCCCTCCGCTGGCGCTGACCAGGCATCGTTTGGTTTTGGTCTTCGTGTGCCTATTAAGGGTCGTCAGGGCTACTGTGCTGCAGAGCTGGTGGCAGCTGCAGTCATCTTGTCCTCCTGGCCCTGCTGTCTTAGGGATCAGCGGTGTTCCTAGCATTCAGGGTGAGGAGAGATTACTGCCTTCTGGGGATGAAGTGTTCCTGTTCTGCTGTTTCTCTGCAGGTGGAGTCTGCGTCCTGCTGAGCTCAGGGTTAGGAGGTTAGTGTCCTGTGCGATTCAGGATTCAGGCATCTGGGAGTAGGGTGCCTCCCCCATGCCTCTGCCTTGAGGGTGTATGGAGTTGAGGACGCCCTGGCTGTTGTGTTCATCTTGCCCAAGTCAGAGCCACTGCAGTGCTTTGCACACACAGCTTTTGATTCAGCAGCTCTGAGTGAAACCTAAGAACTCGCATTCAGGAAGCGTTCCCAGTTGGTGCTGCTGATCTCAGGACGATCCCTTGAGAGGCCTGGCTCTCAAAGAATCGGGTGTAGGGGTACATCTGTGTAATCCCAGCTACTCAGGAGTGCATGTTTGAGGCCACCCTGGGCAGTCAGGAAGACCCTGTCTCAAAAAAAAAACCAAAATAACAGTGGCTGGGGATTTAGCCCAGCGGCATAAGTGCCTTCCTTGCAAGTGTGTGGTCATGAGTTTGATCCCTGGTACTAATAAAAACGAAAAAGACAAAAAAAAAAAAAAAAAATCAGACTCATTAGCAAACACCAACTTCATTTTATTTTTCATTCATTTGTTCAACAAATACACAGTGTGTGGTTCTTCTTCCTGGTGCTGGAGCTGGAGCAGTGAGAACCCCTGCCATGTGGGAGCTTGCATTCTTGCCACAGGTGATGGGAAGTGGGCTGTTGTGGTCAGGGGTTGTACACAGAGAGCAGTTAGAATCAGGACATGGAGTTTATAATATTTTTATAATGTCCACTGGGAGTTAACACAAGAAAATGCAGGAAATCTATTCATAACACCAAAGACATAGAATATTTAGTCAAGGGCCTAAATCCCACAGCAATGTCCCACATAAGTCCAGATGAAGACCCAGAGCTCATGACAATGCCTCCCACAAGTCCAACTGGAGGTCCAGAGCCCACAAGAAGGACTCACGCTGGTCTCTTTTATGGATCCGTGCCAGAAAGCCCAAAGGTCAGCAGTGGAAGCCAGAAAGTCCGTGCCAGCGGGATGAAGGAACTGTGCTGGTGGGATGAGGGTTCTACGCTGT